AGTTCCCATAGCTGTTCCTAAATTTTGTAATAGTTATCATCACCAAACTGGAAGTTGTTTTTTGTAAGCACATATTTCAATAAGATGTAAAAATGTCTTTAACGGAATGTTGTTGTCCTGTTCTCTGAATTAAGGTAATACTGACATGCTTTGATTCATCATTATGCGGTATATTACTATATAAAGAATGATACATCCATTGTTACTAAGAATGATTCTGTTGAAATATTTGTTATGTTTTGTATTTTTCTGATAAAATCTGTATATCCTTGACATATGAGGGTAATGAAATTCCATGTGTGGTTTGAGTATATTATCGACGCATTACGATGATATCTTTTCAGTTAATGAATCCGCTCCAGATACTATTGGTCTTCCAGGGTAACCGAGTGGTAGGATCAGAATTAAATTGTTTATGGATTTTAGGTAAAATATAAAAAGCTGGAACTCTATTGTCACTATCAGGAACCAAAGATTCTTTAATAGAGTAACTATATTATCCATTTGATAAATTTCCTCATAGATTTCTTTTTTTAAATTGTTCAGTTTGGAGTTATTTTCAAGTTTCTTATAATATTGGTCGTTTTCAAGCTGTCGGTGAACTTCTCTAATGTAGTCAGTACGGCTTCATAACAACATAACCGAACTTTTTATCAGCTTTTTTTATAATGATATTTTCATCTTTTTGTAGGCTTTGCAAGGCTTTTAACTCTTCTGGTGATAAATTTGTTTTATACTATTGTGTTTAACTGTTTGACAGAATTTCATTTGTTATTGCTTCAATATAAAAAATCAAGATTGGAATCTCTGCCAGAAGGGGAATAAAAGTAGAGTTGTTTTTTATTCTTACTGTTTATGTCATAATTATTGGTACTATTGTTTTCATTTCCCTCACTATTTCCTCTTTTGCTGCAAAATATTCATTCAATCTGAGTTTTCTTGTAAATTCAAAAACATCTTGTTTTAAGTTGAATTCTATTATGGGGTTTTGGTGTTGGGCAGAATTTTTAAAACCTTTACCAAGTAATCGATATTCAGTGTTATTGAGCTGTTTATTAGAAAGATTTATTACAGTGTTCTTACCCTTTCTATGTCTTTCTTTATTTTCTTGTTTTTTCTTCCATTTTCTCTTGTTTGTGATTCGAATGAATCGTCTGTTCTTTTTAGATTCTGTAGGCATTTGATCAGTTTCCTGAATATTTTTCTCTAGGTGTAATGTGTTTTTTCCATTACTGGTGTTGTTTGTTGTCTCTCTTGTGGTACATGAATTTTTCTTGTATTGTTGTTTCCCATTGTCAACGGCTTCGCTGTATTTCATCTTCATGCTGCCTGGGGGATATCTCGTTTTTTGAAACATTTGATGGCATTGATTTTGGCTTTGGCATTTTTGTTATTTGTTTGTGCCAATGGTTTAATGATGTCTCTATCATTTACCTCTTCTTTGGCATTTTTATTTGAATGTTCATAATTTGTTCTTTGCTCTCTTTTTTGGTTTTTGTTTTGATTCTTGGAAATTTGTCTTTTTCTTTTCTCATCATTGCGATTTGATGTAGAAATTTGTGTAGATTCTTCAATAATGTAACAGTCTCTTTTGTCAGTCAGCTGCTTAATTTTCTTATTTTGATTTGCAACAATAGTGTTCTTTTTTAATTCTAGTTTAATTCTACATAACTAATGGAACTTCTGATATTGATGATGATAGGGACGAAAATATATTTTCTTGATTACTTCGATCCCCTACTCAATACAAACCGAAATCTACATTACTATACAGAAATCGACGTGTAAAAGCAAATTTAAAACATTTGTGTGAATCCTGTTGTGATATGAAATGTTAATGAAGATTTAATTTGTCAAAAAACGAAGAAGAAAAAAAGATTTTGATGATCTTATCGATATTGACACAAGAATGATTTTGGGAAAGCTTTTGTATAAATGTGTACTTAATCTAAAAAGAAAATGACCTGTGCCCAGGAATGATTTGGTAAGATGTGCGCATTTTTTGCGCGGAGCTTCTCAGTTACTGCATTGCAGCAACATTTGTACTTGTTAGACTAGATATGCATTTGACCATACAACACTGCATACAGCACTGTTTTCAAATTTTCTTATAACAATAGATTTTCTGATGTACAACATGTCACAGAGCTTTAAGCGATTAGAATAAACGTATAACGGATGTGATAGTGCCATGATTGAATATCATATTCTTTTTATCATAATCTAATTTTATCTACATAATAAATAACGTGCCAATGAGCCAGTATGTAGTCGATCGTTCTAAAACTTAACCGTTGAGAAAGGTAACGACTGAGGCAGTGTTACTCATTTCATTTGCTCCGCCTCTGTTGAAGTTCGGCTCCGCTTTAAATTGTCGACAAATTTAATATGATTCTCTGTATGCTAGCATTTAGTCTTCGTTGACGGAGCAGAAGGGAACCAGGACAACTTTGATCACTATCACTTGCAATCGCAACTACTCGGCCCTTGATAAGGACCTCGAACACAATAGTATGAATACACAGAACGGATGCGGTATTTCGGTCTAACCTACTCTAAGAAACTAAACATGTAAACAAATAGTAATTTAATGCTGGGAGTTGTTGACAAGTTTATGTCCAATACATGTAGTAAAAGTCCACCAAACATAAGTGAATTCATAGCTACAAAAGCAAACAATACATTATTTATTTATTACATGCTTTTCGGTGGTTTATAGAAATATATCAGTGATATAAAATTGGTCATTTCACTGTTTGAAACAGTGAAATTACCACTTTGATAATTTCACTGTTTTGAATTTAAGCCCCTTACGTTGTTTCAGTGAAATACCAGCGTGCACAGTACTGGGTACCAACTTAATGACGTGACGTCGTAAATGACGTCACGTTGTATTATTATTTGGCGCGCTTTTCATTTAGTATTAGGTTAAATGTCTTTTTAAAACGTTTCTTTGCATGTAATAAAAAGAAAATGTGTTTAGTTTAGTGTAAGATCGAAATATATTTCACCTTGTGAACACCAAAAGTTCATATTTCACTCGTGGCTGCGCCACTCGTGAAATATACCTTTTGGTGCTCACTCGGTGAAATATATTCCGATCTTACACTGAACTAAACAAATATCCTCAATATATTTATTAATATGGTTGTAGAAACCGAAAGTACAAAAAACCAACCTGTTGACATTTTCAATGTGTAGTCGGATTTGTTTGAAGTTGAACATCAGTGGGCATATTTAAATTACAAATTGTTGTCAGACATATTTTCAAGCATAAGAGTACCGGAACATACATTAGATGTCAAATATATACATTCGTTTTACATTATCTCTGTTTCCTTTTACATCTGAAACCACGTGGTAGAACTTCTTTCAATCCGTATTGTTTCCGAGGTTATTATAGATAATAGCCGAATTATTTCCGAATGTATCACTTGTCGAATCATTTAATTACACGTTACAGTGTCTAAACCACGCCCACTATCAGAGAGGCGGTTCTCCCTCAAGCGGCCATCACTGCACAACAGCTCGTCCTCAAAATCTTTCGAACATTATGCAATTCGTTGCAACAGACAAACATTTCAGACATGGCATTACTTTGTGAAGTTATGCTTTAATTAGGTTCTACTTTTTACCAAAAATATGCAACTTAGTTATTAAACAACGAGCACATACCAAGAACATGGAGAAAAATTGATAAGTGCTTCGGATATACAACTGTAATAGAGAACAATTTTCAATGCTGATTGACTGTGCTCGTCATTTGGCGGCGTCCTAGATGTGCAGCATCAACATTTAACTTGGTCAAATTTAAAACGGAATTGGAACAGAGATACTGCGCGATAAAATTTACAATGATTAGTGGCTAGTTCTGATGCCAGTAAAGATTTTTGTATTTTCTGATCGCAGATCAGAAAGTACAATGCTGACATTCAATCTCTGGCACAAAATTTCACGACAAACCTAACAACAAGTAGTCCTCAAAACAGCTTTAAACTAGCGATGTAAAAGAAAGAAATATTTTTATTTTGTTACAAGTATCCAACAAATTACAAGGCGTTCAAAGTTAAAAGTAGCGTTAGCTTATAGAATTGTCAATAAATGCACAATCACAAATTACGCGGATGAATATCATTTTAATCAATGAAAATGAAATTTTTTGCGATGTCGATTACCGAATACTTCAGAGCGTAGAACACAAATAAATCTGACCGTCGAGTAGTGGAATATATACATGTCGGACTGTTTTCGCGAAAAGATTTTCGCTAAATTATTTACATCAGTGTTAAACAACAGGTTTATCGCGAAATTAATAAGGATTACAAACCCGAAATGGAAATTTCTAAATTTAGAACCATTTGATTTTATTCAAGCTTTCTTCGTATAACTACCCCGTGGTGCAAGGGTAACGCGTTCGTTTAGGCTGTGAGAGGTCTAGGGTTCAAATCCCAGGCGAGGCAACTATTTTTTTAAGTGTCTGTTTTAATGAAGTAGCCACGATATGCACGGATAAAGTGTGGCTGTCATAAAAAAATGAACAGAAATGATTTTTGATGCAACTCTAGTCATGCAAAATTCCGTATGCATCAAACTCAAACTTTTATAGTAAAAAATCTAAACGCAATCGCTGCATCTCGGTGCCCTGTAAGATGAATTATAGTATATGAAAATAAAATTATTCAGGAAAATACATACAGATATACAGTACGATGATCAGAAAATACCACAGAGCTTGCAGCCCTTTGATTTGTCTTAGCTCGGTGGCTTTAACCAATACTATAGTAAATTAATTGCCATTGTCTTGTATGTACAAATAAAATGCGTAAGCGTATAGTTTAGCTAGACTTTTGTTCTGTGTTGAAATATTATCTGCAGGTAATAAATTTGTAATGTTAATATTGTCTTAATACATGTTTATGGCATGTCAATTGATTTATCAACAACTTGGATTTTTTTTATCAGCTAGTGTGGCCATATCACGTGACATTTAGATTAGATAGTTAACAAAATGGCAAGATGTTTATTAAGCTGACTAAATACATGTAAGATTGTTTTTTTGCTACATATTGATATTATAAAATGAGTCGACAACTGGTATACATTCTATTGTGAGGTAAGAATTCTTTTTCATTTTTTAAATCTCTGAATACTAGTTATATCAATATTTACGTAACATTACATAAAGTATTTACATGCATGTGCTATCGCAAATATAAAACTGGATCAATATACATTCTTTGTATATCTATTAATCAAAAAATTGTTAATGTTTAGAAATAAGCATAATGATATACATGCATCTACATGCTCCTGTTCATTTAAATGTTTCGAGAATACAAGATGCAGATTACCGAACTGTACATTTTGAAATTTGTGCACATCAGATAGCTACCGGCCCTGTAAGATTGGAGCCCTTCATATATCACAACCTTTAAAATCGAGTCAAGACTTGAATATTTGTTGCAAACAGTACAATGTTGGTTTCAAGTTTTATTTGACATTTATTTTAAGAAATAAACCATCAAGAATGCACATACATTTGTCATACAAATCTTAATGCCCATTAAAATGCCACACGTAGTTCTTGCCGAAAACAGCAAAATTCTGCATTCAAAATGCACTGACAGTAACAGAATAGCTTTGCATGTTGTTCATTCAAAATATGCGATCACAAACCGGAGGATATCTAAAGCCAATGCTTTATGCATAGTAAAAGCACTTTTTGGTTGTTTAAATATAACATCGAACATTTAAATCATTAATTGACATGGTGCAGCCTCATTAAAGCAATGCTATGTACTTCACAAAAAGAATATGTTTGTTATTTTAATTCAATTCAATTCAATTCAATTCAATAGCTTTATTGTACAAGAGGCATCCGGCCCATATACCGTTCAAAAATTAAACATAATTATACAGTACAATCTGAATTTACATTATTCAAAACATTTGAGAAAATTATCTCTTTTTTTCACTGCATTATAAATATACATAGCGACATTACGTATAAATGACTCGTTTTCAGTTGCCATCAAAGAAAATACCTTTTCAACAGTCGGGTATTGATAGTACTACAATATTATATAAAATCGCGTAAATTTACATATAAAGAACATACAATAAGAACGTGATATTCATCCTCTAACATTGATTCACAGTACATACAATCACGATGTTCTCTATCAATATTAAAATGCAATGAGCTTCTAAAACTAGCACTTGTGAACATCTATAACAAAACTATATTTTTCAGTTTGTTTTAAATGTATTCTTATACATAAAATATAATGATTTAATTTTACATTTTCTAGACACTTTGATTGCTATGGTAATTTTGCATAAACTGATCTTTTAAAGCAGCCTCCAGATTCATGCTAATTTTCAAGAATATTTTGAAAATGTATTTGAATGTATAATATTGTGAAATAACCAAAAGGAAGTCATTTACACATTATCAATGGCACTTACAAGCCATGTAAATTACCAAAAAAGTGGTCAAAATATGCATAAATAGTCCTTACTGCGTTAGTAACGCAGTAGAAATATAGTTGTAAATACTAAAATATCAGTCATTTACCGCAAATAACATGTAAAATATTACTTGAATCTTGAACCATTTTACGTTTCCTAAAATCGTATATATAGTACTTATTTCTAAAGTTTGATTTTATTCAATTATTTTGACTCATTTGGAGGCATGCAGCTTTAAACACTGTTCATATTGCATTATAAATAATTTAGGATTGGTTTGTAATCGGGGCCTCCCATATTATCTAAATCCATTTTTATACAGGTTCAATCGTACATCAGACACCCATGAGAGTGTCATTAAGAAAATTTTAAATCCAAGATTACAAAAATGGAAAATAACGCGTTTATTAATACATGTACATTTATATATTGGAAAGGAATTAAAGAATATGTCCTTTATGTCCAAAACAATCTCTTGGGGATGAATTTCATTACTTTTTTGAATGTCAATTTTTTAATTTTCTTCGTAAAATGTTTATTGATTCAAAATTCTCAAATCATCCTAATACCTATAAATTAGAATCGTTAATGAATAGCTCTGGCCATTCAACTTTATTAAAACTTGCATTATTCTGTAAAATTATTATATCAAAATTCAAATAACTCATTCTCCTGTAAGGCATGATTTTCTCAACCTGTATGAGTGTATTAACATATAAACAATTTAGATAACATCTGTGTAAGACAAATCATGTCCAAAGAGTAAAGTTTAGTCAAATACCGAAATGTGTTAGACAAATTGATCTCATTATTATATAATTTTATGTATATATGTTTTGTTAATCACTTTTGAATAACTGTTCATTATATTAATTGTTGATCTATCATTACCTTATGCATATTATATGCCTTGGTTTTGAATAAAATTTTGAAATCTTGAAGATAATGCATTATGTGGTGACCAATAAAACATGTAAATTTATCATCGTTTAAATTTTAGAACCGATTGCTATTTTTTTCTTACTGCTTAGAATTGTTTAATACCACATTTTCTTTGGGTATAACTTAGGGATAATGTATTTCAGAATGATGGTTGGGATAAGAGAGATAATGATACGTTGGTGAAAGACTTGAGGGAACAGAATGGAATACTTCAAGACGAAATAGACAGACTGAACAAAATGATTACGGACCAAAGTGAAATGTAAGTCCACCAGAACAACAGCTGTTTGGTATAATGTAAAATTATCCCTCTGTATGTATTTAGATAGACAGTTTTTATTAATTCAATGAAACACATACTTTTGTCTAATTTGAAGGGATTTAAGTACAATGTATGCATAATACATATGTGGGGGAGTTCATTTACTAAATTTAAGTTGTACACTTAAAGATCAGAATATTTTAGTAAAAAGTTTCATAAATGTAGATGTTTAGTTCCTACTTTATATTAAATATTTGTAACGACTCAAAACTAACTGAAAACAAAATGATTCCAAATTTACGCAGCTTTATTGATCTTTCATGAGAATTAACCTGAAGGCTGATGGACCGATAACAATTAGCGTTTGCAACCAGTATAGCTTTAGCCAGGCCAGCTTACCTTTCCATGAAGTCTGACCAAGCTCTATCTATTGATAGCTACATTTTGAAGTCACTAAGATTTAAATGATATGCAATTATTCAAAAATATAAAGTCCTAAAAGTTCTTAAATCTTAATCAAGGCTATAAAGTAAAGTCTATGTAAATTCAAAAAATACTTTCACAGACGTTTTACGTATACATTTTTCATCTGTACAGGATAGGAAAACAGCTAAAAAAAGATATAGAAATACAAGCAAAAGGAAAGTTTGATAACGCTGGTGAGATTGTTCAGCCAACAGCTCTATCTCATAACGTTAGAGAAATATTTGATAACGAATGGAGGAACGTGATGACAACTTATTTCCGTGGAGACAAAGAACTGGAAGGCATACGAATTCTTTCCAAACTACTGCAGGTATAATATGTTTTGTATTGTTTTTGGCTTGCAGCCACGCTATTTCATATGGAAAACTTGTTCCGGTTAGGTGGTTTCCTGCACACATCTGTTGGTGCATGATTGAACGGGAAACCAGCTGTAATCGTGCCAATCGCAACTTTTCGGCCTTTTCCGTCACTCTTCGGATTAATGATAATAGCCGATGTAGTTCCGATTGCAATCGTGACAAATTCAATTCGGGAGATTCCGTCAAATTGCAGAATCAGACGAAGTAATATTACGGAAATCTAAGCTATTTTAGTTACTTCGGTAATCCCAGTTTGTTTATAAAAATAGGATTTCTATTTTTACTTGATTTATCGGTTTAAACCGTAATAAATTATAAACGAAATTGTTCCGTTTCAATTGTTTTTCAAGACGCAAAAGTTAGTTTATTTTATAATTGTTTTTTGTCTGTATTAGTTTATACAATAGAGAATGGTGACTGCAGTCTGTAGCACAGGGGGAAGACGCTGTGATCTGACATTATCCCGGGCCCCCTCCCCCTAAGGCCCTGCTACAACCCATAAAAAATATCAATGCAAGTTGATTTGCACAATAAAAATTCATAAAAACAATATTCTGACACGTTTCGACGATTTTCATTATACCCCTATACTATATATTATAACAAGGGTACCGTCTTCTGTGCGCTTCCAGCGCTTTGATACTGCCCAAGTTCATATCTATCGTCGAAACTCAGCCAAAACTCAATATAATTTTAAAAACATGGTCTCGATCAACGCAGCATTGATAAATGTATGTAATAACAACAGTCAATTTTGGAAATGTTGGCAACTTATTTTGATTCAACTCCGAAATTGCCGGTGACTTGAAATCTGACAAGATCTGATTCACGTAAACATCAAAATGTTCACGACTGAATTGCATCAGAAACGCTAAGATGCGTAGAAATTTAATTGCATCTGTTAAAACAAAATATTCAATAAACATTACCACAAAAATACACTCCGAATATATTTCCTATCGTGGCGTAACGATCAAAGTATAATCCGATATTCCCGTCTTTTCTCATGCCTCCATTACACAAACTTGACCCGGAAACGTTAATGCACAACTCTGTATGGTTCTCGTCCTCGCTTATACGACGGCGTACGATTCGGTACCAGTACTTGGTAAACATAAACACGTGTAAATACAGCGCCAATTTCGAAAGTTTGTCTACAACAGTTTTCGCACATTTTCTGACGATAAAGTACAGAAATCACAAAAATGTCAATAGTTTCATGGTAAACATATTAATAAAACACTGTATTTGTACACTGGAGCTGCCAATATTTTATACACGTGTTTATGTTTACAAAGTACTGGTACCGAATCGTACGCCGTCGTATGAGCGAGGACGAGAACCATACAGAGTTGTGCATTAACGTTTCCGGGTCAAGTTTGTGTAATGGAGGCATGAGAAAAGACGGGAATATCGGATTATACTTTGATCGTTACGCCACGATAGGAAATATATTCGGAGTGTATTTTTGTGGTAATGTTTATTGAATATTTTGTTTTAACAGATGCAATTAAATTTTCTACGCATCTTAGCGTTTCTGATGCAATTCAGTCGTGAACATTTTGATGTTTACGTGAATCAGATCTTGTCAGATTTCAAGTCACCGGCAATTTCGGGAGTTGAATCAAAATAAGTTGCCAACATTTCCAAAATTGACTGTTGTTATTACATACATTTATCAATGCTGCGTTGATCGAGACCATGTTTTTAAAATTATATTGAGTTTTGGCTGAGTTTCGACGATAGATATGAACTTGGGCAGTATCAAAGCGCTGGAAGCGCACAGAAGACGGTACCCTTGTTATAATATATAGTATAGGGGTATAATGAAAATCGTCGAAACGTGTCAGAATATTGTTTTTATGAATTTTTATTGTGCAAATCAACTTGCATTGATATTTTTTATGGGTTGTAGCAGGGCCTTAGGGGGAGGGGGCCCGGGATAATGTCAGATCACAGCGTCTTCCCCCTGTGGTCTGTAGTAGTATTCCGTCTTCAAAGATGAGTTATATTTAGATCCAACTTCTTGGTGAGGTAATCTAAAAATAGCCCATGCATATCATTAACCTTGCCACCTAGCGCATCGTCTATTTGTGATCGTGTAAGATAGTTGATACATGCTTGTTAATTGGTACCACGTAACGAAGTATTTTAGTGCAATTACTTGTCTATAAAGCAAAGGAATGATTTCGCTGCGAAAAGGGGGAAATGAAATGTGCACACTTGTTTTCCTTCAGTATCACGTTAGTATTTTTACGACTGATCATTTTCTTTATTAGTTTTATACAATAGAGAATAGATTTCAAATCGTTTTGACAAAAAATATTCGGTTTTCAAAAAAAAAACTAAATAAACCTTTTATGATATACAAATACCGTAATTCAAAAAAAAAATGTGATAATAAATTGAAACCAAAAAAAAAACAACAATTTTAAAGGGTTTGGATGAAGGCACAACTTTTAAAAGGAAACTTTATCTTATTTTATCTTAGAACAGAATTACAATGGACCTGTGTGGGGGAAATTATCTATATTGATTAGAACAATTGAACTAATAAATCAAGTAATATTTAAATCTTAAATATCGTCCTGACACTAAACTCTGAAAGGAAGATTCCTTTAACGCATTTAAAGATGAACGCAATGATTGTTCGATTTTGCAAAAACTGTAACCTAAATAACTTCCTTCCTCACAGCATCTTTCTGTTTATTTATTCCGACACTACCATATATAATGACACAATCAAAACGAGCATAATTCTTTGAAATGTGTGTCTAATTAATTAAGGAAAACCTTCAGCATGCCGATAAATACCTGGAAAGCTTGAAATTTTTATCCAATAATCCTTTTCTCAAAAAGTTGAACACAAGTGAAAGGGGTGCGCGTTTTTTTTCAATTTATCACTGTAAACCCTGATATATATGTAACTGTGAAATATTATGAATACATGAAGTACATGTATCTGATTTATATATTTTGTAGGACTGTCAGTTATTTTGTCAAGAAAAGGCGAGAGAACAACTCGTGGACTTTGTAAACCCTTTCTCCGAAAACAAGCAGTGTGATGTTGAAGAAGTATGGACATTACGAGAATTTTTAGCTTTTCACACAAGTATTGCGCTATAAAACAGTAAAATTGAAAAAGTCAGTTTGGTGCAATGTAATGTAACATTGACGCTACAAGCATGCAGTTACTTAATTATAGATGTAGTCAACTCATTATTTATATGAATTTGAAACATAGCTCGGTTTAACAACTGTAAAATTCATTATTGCCAAACTCATAATATTTTCCATTTTAAATGTTTTTCTATTAAGAACATTTTTCTTCTTTGTATTATCAATTCATCTTTTTTAACAACTGTGCCAATAGCACAACAATCATTAACGTATTGATAGAATAATTAAACTTATAAATATATAATATATAGGTTATACGATCAAAAGAAGAACAACATAATCTGTACAAACTACGGCGTATCATTGGTCTGCATGACAGAAATAAACCTAATGTTACAAAAGTAAGTTACTTCTTTGAAGGGGTTTGGGAATGTATAGGATGGCCCGTTTAATTAATGTATTCCATTGAGAATTGAGTTTGCTTCCAACTGACATGAAACATTTTCGAGTCCGCTTGCTAAATGCAGAACAAGTGTCATATGAGAAAATGCATAGTAGTGTTCGAACCACAAAAGTCACCAGCCCACCGCTGTTAATTTCATATATTGCACATCATACAAACAAAAGTAACTCTCTTTTACATAATGCCCACTCCGGTTCGTAAACCTTTTGCCAAGCTTTCTATGTCGAGTGGAATGTAATCTAAAGTAGAAATAATCTATTTCTAGTATCCATTAATGCTATTTTAATAATACACCATCCATCTGTTGACCTGCCATAGAGAAACGATAGATACTATCAAATAATAGAATATTACTTTTCTTACAGCTGTTTGCTAAGGAATGTAGAGAAAAAGAACAATACCGTTACATCAAAGATTTTTTGACAATGAAACAAGAGAAGTACATGACGATGGAAAATGCCTAGAAACCAGACAGGAGGTTATTGAAAATGGGGAATGCTTAGAAAATAAAATAACTGGCAAAGGCAGTAACGCCAAAAATGATGTGGCAAACAGCTGTGAGGTCATAGACGATGCCACAGTATTTAAACAAGTGAATGATCTAAACAGTAAAGAAGAAATCAGCTGTATTGAAGAATATTTATACAAATGTTGTGACATGTGCTGGCAATGCGCTATCTCCGATCCACCAGTGTTTCTCAAATTTGACGTAATCGGTGAGAACATTGAACGTGTATCAGACAAGTTTCAGGAGTACCATTATAAGAGCGCAACAGTAGATGAAACAGGCGTTAGCAATGTAGTAATGCAGGTAGTATGGCCGGCTGTCGTGATCCATAATGAGGAGGAAAACACGGATATTCTTGTTGATAATGCTAAAGGATCCGTTCTTTTATATAAAAGCTCTGCTGTTTAAATAGATTCGATGATAATAAAAATAATAAAAGAGAAAATTCGTTGAACTGATATCATCCATCGAACAATAAATATAACTTGATATGAACTACTCAAATGTTACTGACTTTTCACAGTGATCTTTGATCTTAAAGCTTGAGTTACATATCACTTTGGTTTCTTTTTAAGTTAACAATGTCAGTGAAAATTGTAAAGCAGCAATAGCTCTACAAGTGAATGACGCACCTGAGGAAAATGTCGCAAAAACATGTTTATGCAATCTAATAATCGTTATTGTCATAAAAAGTACATTATTTACATCTATATCTACATCTACATCATACTGTCTAACAAGAAATTATTTATATGCAAAATTAAAAAGTTAAAAGAATAAAAGTTCTACAAGACTATTAATTTAAGACATAGTGTGTGATTTGGAATTTAATCTCAGTAAAGATGTTTTTAAACTGGGGCTAGACTGAACAGTTAAAGGAAGGCTATTCTAAAGACGTATGCTCCTAGGAAAGAAAGAATTTTGATGATATTGTGTCCTTGAGTAGGGTATCAGGTAGTTCAGATTTCTTGTCAGAGTAAGGTGTTGGTGGTCAACAAACACAATGTTGTTTTGGATTTTATACAAGTAGGTTACAGCACTGATGTTTTGACGCTATTCAAGGGTTTGCCAGTTAAGATCATTAATCATTTTTGAGAAACTACTTGTATAGTCATAATCATTAAAATATATCTAGCAGCTGATCTTTGGATTTGCTCTGTCTTATAAATTAAGTACTTCTGCCCAGGATGCCAAATTATGGAGCAATATTCAACCTGAGGTCTAACAGAGGTCTTATATGCAGTTTCTTTTATCTTTTTATTTGGGGTTTTAACATTTCTTCTTATGAAATAACACAAATCATTGTAATTGGGTTATGCTTTATAAGATCGACTATTTTTGGTTTGGTTTTGTTTTTTCAACGCAATAAAACAGCAATAGGTCTATTTTGCCAGAAAGAAATGTTGGAAAAGTATCCAGAGATCATAATTTAGACTAGAGTAGATTCCGATGACATTTAGAATAAACAATCCTGTAATTGATATATAAACATCTATACCAACTTTCCTTACAATATAGAATACCAGTTCTACTCCAGACAACATATATTTTTACAGATAATAATTATATGGCATAACTCAAGAATCAAGGAATACTGATGGCCTATTATAGGCATCATTTCTTCAACTACAATGTATATATACATTTATGTAATATAACAACCGATTTCAATACGATTTCAATACGCAGCTCTGAGCATAAATGTTTCTTTACATTTAACATACTATATTTTAGCAACGGAGAATACATGCTTTGCAATTTGAACATTCTGTTCAATATTTACGGGAATTAAATATCAAAATGCAAAAATGGACTGAAAAACTTTTATATTTCAGCAACGCTCTCACGGGACAGTAATAATGTGCATAAGTGGACAATAGGTAAATGTTCTTTCTCTTTAATGCTTTTATGTGGCTGTTTTTTGTGTGGCTAAAAAGAACAAGAGAGAGAGAGCAATAGAGTAGCCACATAATAACTGCCCTGTGAGAAAAGACGTTTCAGCTCTGTTTAAATACAATATGTTTTAAAATGTGTTCTATTGGGGGTCACAATAATTTGTCTGTAATTACATTGTAAAACATTATTAAAACGCAAATATAGGTCAAAGTTATATTTTATTTTAAAAAAAAACAACAACATAATACCTAACAATTACATTCAAATTTAATATCCCTTTCTTAATCATCAGTTGTTTTATAAACAATTGTTTTCGACATAAACATTATAGAAAGTTAAGCAAAACATTTCACATTTGATGACCAACCTATTTTAGTAGCAACAAAACAATGTGATACTAAATCATGTAGAAAGAAAATTAAAGAGAAAAAATGTTTCCTTTTTATCTAAATAGGTCTGTTTAGTCATACTTGCTGTCTTATTCTAGTCTGAACCATTTCCATAAATAAATTACAAAGCTATGAAAATGTAAGCAAAATTCAAATATCTGACCTTGACTGTCAAGGTCAATTAAATAAAAAGGTTAAGGTCACATCTAAATTATTCAGTATGTTTGTTAGGTAGAAATTCCTGTTTTGCCCAAATATAAATCAAATCCATATATAAATAACAAAATTATGACAATTTAACCATGTATGCAATAATTTGACCTTAACGGTCAATGTCATCTCAAGGTCAATTGAACCTTTAAGAAGGTCTTGTCAAGTTTGAAGACAATACATTAAAAAAGTTAGAGCCACTTTTTGCCAAAATCAAGCAAAATCAAAAAGAATTGTTGTGGCCAAGTATGATAATACACCAGGAACTAACAATGCCTGATTATAACATACATGAATTTTTTCTTCAAAACAATGTTGCACTAAAAAAAGGAAATTAAAGAAAGTTGGACACTTATGAAATTAAAATGTTATGGTCAAGGTTAATGTTGTCTGCAAACAGACATGACTTAAACAATATGCCATAAAACAAGGTTAAGGGGTGAGAAAGTATTATTACATTTGAAGAAATTAATGGGGAAGTATAAGAACCTTTGAAGAGATGAGTGAGGAAGTATGAAAACCTTTGAAGGGAAGAATGGTAAAGCATAAGAACCTTTGAATATCTATTCGATGTCCCTCAATGAGGCTTTAACCTTAGCTACTTTAAGACAAGAGGGCCATGATGGCCCTGAGGTTGCTCACCTGTATATAGGCCCCCCCCCCCAATGTTGCAGGGCCAATTTAACCCAAGGGCTTTTATTTGCACAAACTTGGTAGACACCCATAAGAAGATGTTTCATGCTAAACATCTAAGCTCTAGCTCATTGGGCTTTTTAAAAGAAGATTTTTTTAAAGTTTTTACTATACACATATAGTTAAAAACAATGACACCCCTGGGGCCGGGCCAGGGCTTTTATTTGAACAAACTTTGTAGACACTTACTAGAAGATGTTTCATGCTTAATATCTAAACTCTAGCTATTTGGGTTTTTTCAAAGAAGATTTTAAGTTTTTGCTATACACATATAAGGAAAATCAATGACCCCCGGGCGGTGCCAATTTTGACCCCAGGGCTTTTATTTGAACAAACTTGGTAGACACCTATTAGAACATGTTTGATTCTAAATATCTTAGCCATAGCTTTTTGAGTTCTTTAAAAGAAGATTTTTTAAGTTTTTACTATATGCAATTAGGGAAAATCAATGACCTCCCGGGGCGGGGCCAATTTTGACCCCAGGGCTTTTATTTGAACAAACTTGGTAGACACCTATTAGAACATGTTTGATGCTCAATATCTTAGCCATAGCTCTTTGAGTTCTTTAAAAGAAGATTTTTTAAGTTTTTACTATATGCAATTAGGGAAAATCAATGACCCCCCGGGGCGGGGCCAATTTTGACCCTAGGACTTTTATTTGAACAAACTTGGTAGACACCCATTAGAACATATTTCATGCTAAATATCTTAGCTCTAGCTCTTTGGGTTCTTTAAAAGAAGATTTTTTAAGTTTTTACTTTATGTATATAGGCAAATTCAATGACCCCATGGGCGGGGCCAATTTTCACCCCAGGGCTTTTATTTGAACAAACTTGGTAGACACTCACTAGAAGATGTTTCATGCCAAATATCTAAGCTCGAGATCTTTGGGTTTTTTAAAAGAAGATATTTAAAGTTTTTTCTTTCAGTTGCCATGGCAACCAGAGTTCTGCATGGAATTATATTCTTTGAACATTTTTAAAGGTGACCACCAAGGGATCATTCCTGTGAAGTTTGGATGAAATTGGCTTAGTGGTTTATGAGGAGATGCCATTTAAACTAAAAATTTACGGACGGACGGACGGACGCCGGACGAAAAGCGATCACAAAAGCTCACCCTGTCACTTTGTGACAGGTGAGCTAATAAATATAAAACAGTTTTATTTCACTAAATGGAAAAATAGTAAATAGTAAAATTTGACTTCCTCTCCTGGTTAAAAGCTAGAACATTGTCTCTGTAAGCAAATATGTATGTTTGTATATTGTCAATTCTGTGTTTTAGACTTGTCCTGCTTTGACTTTGAAAGGTCTATTCAATATTAGCTCAATGGATTTCAATTTCAAAAAAATACTGAAGTTAAGCAACCACAAGTATATTGGTGTCAGACTTGTGTAGCATGCTGGTTGGAGCTGGCTCTATGCTGGCTGCACAGGCTTTTCTTGACCTTTGCAAGTACTCAAAAGATTAAAAGAATCTAGGTCCAAAACCCCCAAACCCACTGAACGGATTATTTCCTCTACCACCACCTCTGCCAGGTCCTGGTCTACGAGGGATAAAACCTGGGTCAGGGCCAGGATCAATATCTGGTCCAGGTCCTATGAGATCGTACCTAGGTCTAGGTAATGAAGGTGGTCTAGGTCCCATCCTCCCAGGAACACCTGGTAAATTACCTACAATATAAATACAGACAATGAGGCTTTACTTGACAATAATTTTAACAAGTTGATTTTAACCATTTCACTGCCAGAACAGCTGTTATTATCATACACAATGTGAATGTCTGAGGCAGTGTTAAGCATTACAAGAATCTATTGTAACAGATGGATGTTCATGTCTCTATCTATGTATACAACATATATATTTCATATATTTATATGGGAGAAAAGGAAAAAAAATAAAGACAAAATAAATTTTCCAGCATTTAACAGAAAGTATGACAAAAAAAACTTTCAAAGAAATCAGTTAATCATTCCATATACCAATAATAGGTATCTGCTTATTTGCAGAGACATGTACAGAAGTAAGATAGGTATAAGGTCTTGCAGGCAGGTTATGGATAAACTAACAATTGCTACTCATTTATCCCTATAGATAAGGAAACCAAAAGTAATCATATGTTCATACATGATATCGAGATCTTGTAAACTGAAGCACATGAAATATTATATGTATTTACAAACTAAGGTTTACTTACCTGGAAAACTAGGATATAAATCATAATCCCCTCCAATAATACCTCCTGGGCCAGGTGGGATCCAGTTACTAGGGCCACTGAAAGGGTTAGCTGGTCCCCAGTAACGTGGTGTTACTATCTTCATGCGATTCATTGCTTTCCTTCTCTCTTTTCTACTCTTGTATTCACGTTTATAAAGCTGAAAAAATATTCATCTTTAATTATTTCACTTCAAGTCAGTATGTGTGAGAGCACAAACACATGTGTGTATGTTACAGTTTTCATTGAAATGTCCTGAAACATGTTCATTCTTAAGGCAATATATAAAATTAAAGCATTACATATTTTTTCAACCTTTGAATACCAGTTTTTGTTAGCATTAATAAAGTTACAGGTAGATCTTAATAAAACAGTAGGTTATATATAGTGTACTACAATTATATCAACTGGGACAGCCTTACAACTTTCCATAGATTTAACTCAAGGATTAAAATGGCCTGAAACAAATGCTAGCACACAATCTAAACTTGTTATTATCCTTCAATATTCTTGTTGCTATGCATTTTATCGAAATAAATGTTTTTTAACAAATATCTGCCAAATTTTCAAAATTACTTATTTGAAACACTAATGGAAAGGGACTTAAAATTCAAAGGAACAGAAAAAACACTACATATCATTTCCATTGGATATATGTAAACAGATGTATAAACTGTATACTGCTATAACATTACCTCCTTCCAGTTTTGTGATAAACTGTTATCTCTTCTATCTGAAATGATCACAGAAAATATTACCTCCATTAAATCATGTCACAGATAGTTGAAAATAAACTTGTATTCCAACTGATATATGTCAAGGTGCACCTTTCAACTTGTACTGACAGAGAAATTCCTCATGAAAATGTTCCATAAATGTTCTCAGGGACAGACAGGTACATATTATAAAGAAGAATTAACATCCTTCCCCATATAAAAGAATTAAATCTTCCAAGTAAAATTTGAGCTAAAAGACTGCAATATCAACCACTTGACCACTTTCTTAGTTATAAATTAATATCTTTTATCATGAAACATGACAAAACTAAAGCACACAAATTAAATGCTAATACAAGATGCACAATGTTAAAATGTTAGAGGACTCGATGGAAAAATACAAGACAAAGAATGTCCCTATCAGTTTTCACAAGCCTAGACTTATACCTTCTCAAGTTTTTGGTTTGACTTACACACAGTGTCACCGTGACCTCATAATCAATTATGGTGTTCACAAAACTAGAATGATTTCTTATCAAGTTTTAAATCACACAATTCACATTTATCTATGTATCACTGTGACATTGACCTTTGACCTTATGAAACAAAAATCGTCTTCTGGCCATGACAGTCCCTCCCTACTATGTACGAAAACAGCAAACCATATAGTGACTAAGTGATTGTGTACACATCAATGTTGCCAACAGACAGACCGATAGACTCACAAGCACCATACTGTTTTACCACTGAAGTTTCCTTTGGATGTATAAAATAAAAAGTATGTCTTTGCATCAAAATGCAAATATTTATTATATACTTATAAATGTAATATTGAGAAATATTGATGAAATAAAATGCGTATTTTCATTTTCCGTATTTTCACTGTAAAAATTTATTTTTCACTGCAGTGAAACATATTTTCCGTATTTTCACTGGTGTCTTGCCAGACTACTTTTTTTTAAATTCTGCCAGTACACAAAATTTAAGGGAAAATCTTTCAAATTTTAATATCAAAAAGGAGAAAAATGTATATAATAAACAGAAAATTCAAGTTTTTCTATAAATACATGATTTATTTTCATCTTGTGGCATGAAAATTACCATATTTCACTCGTGGCTACCGCCACTCATGAAATATTTATTTTCATACCACTCAATGAAAATAAATCATGTATTTATAGAAAAAACTTGAATATCCTCTATATATTGCTTTTTTTTAAAAATGATAAAATGATTGTAAAACTAAAAACGTGTCGTCACATCACAGATGCCCCCGCATGCAGCCAAAATTTCAGATGTTATAATATTTAGTTCCAATTTTGTTTGCACAAACTATTTTTTTTTAATTTAAAGTTCAAAGCCCTTAAAACTTTTCAATGTCAACACAAACCATTTTTATACAAAGTTCAAGGCACTTAAACAATTCAGTGTTAACCTTTTGTATTGCATATTGCATATTTGTAGCCAAAATAATGACTACATACATTTCCACAAAAGTATGAGCGCTGAAACTGAAAATTCAATTTCAAAATTTCAAAAGAGATAACTTTGTCCAAAAACATTGAACCACAATTAAATTCAAATTTGAACTGCTTATTCCTAAGATGTATCTTCATGTCAAATTTGAGTTGAATGTGTAATACCTTTGAGGGGATAATGAACGGAACCTAAAAAATTCTGATTTTTTTTCAAAGTTCAAGAGGGATAACTATATCAGCTATCATCAAACCATGACCACATTCAAACTTGACCTAGGCATTTCTTTGACTTATCCATATGTCAAATTTGAGTTGAATGTGTAATACTGTTAGGCGGAAACTGAAAATTTCATCAAGGGGCATATAACTCTGTCAAAAATCATTGGACCATGACCAAATTTGAACTTGACCTGTATTTTCTTATGATATATCCATATGTCAAGTTTGAGTTGAATGTGTGCAACCGTTACTAAGATAATTAAGGGAACCTGATGATGACCGAATGGCGGAAGGACGGAATGACAGAACAGGGTAACACTATATGGCGGGGGCATAAAAAAATTTTCTAATGTTAAAAAAGTTTTATTTCAAAACATGTGTGCTGCTTTTCAAAATGCACTGTCTCATTCACACTTCAAAAGCGCTTTCACATATGTTTCAGGCAAAAAGGCACTTATAGATGAACAAACTGCCAGCACATTAAAGCTTCTTTAATAAGTTTTTGTTGAAGTAAAATTGATGATGACATGGTGAATTACAATATACTTGTATATATTGTATATTCAAAAGGTAAGAAACTTACTGCCAAAATTTCTCAGATAAAGACATCTCCACAAGTAAGGATCTTTACTGATCTCTAATAATTCTGTATTAACACAAGACACCTTCAGTAAACTTCTCAGGTCCAGAAAACTTAATATACGTAACTGTAAATAGAAATAACACTTTACGTAAGGTAAAATATAGTATAACAAGTTTACACTCGATCAAGATCATCAGTTTCAACAAAACAGTTTAAGAAAATATGTAACTTAATTAATCTACTCTAAGTAATGTCAAAAATCCTGAATGCCAATTATTTTCTTTCATCCAGTAAAAGGATAAATCATTTTGCTTCAGGAATAATTAATTGTAAAGTGTATATCTGGGGGAAGAGGGAATGAGGAGGAGAGACATTTGTTTACCTATAAAAGGCAAGAAAATGTAATAATAGCCTTTTTAACATCAGTAGGAGACTACCATAATTATACAACATCTATTTTATAGATATATACCAAGTATATGTAAATGAAAAGATTAAATAAGAAGTTCCCTGAATAATACTTTTAAACAAGTATTTGGTATAATTTCACATTCTGCTACAAAGTACACTTTTCAGTAAAGAAAGTAGTAATACAAAGTTTAACTCTTAAGTTGGAGGTTGCAAGTTTGAACAACTGTTATACAAATGTTATAAAGAGCTTTCTACCTTGGCACCCAGACATAAGGACTAGGATGGATCATTACAGTATAAACATACTGTCATTGGATAGGATAATACATAAAAGTGTCTATCTTATGTAGTGGTGCAACGATATACCGGTATACCGGTATATTGCAATACAGTCTCGGGTCGATACGTACCGCGGTGCAGCTGCCCTGTATTGCGGTTTTTTCTTTAATATTAATGCCGAAATAACATGAATGTAGAAACTTCAACTTTGAATCAGTAAGCAACGATTTACGACATCAAAAACAAAACATCAATGAAACATGAAAAGATTGCCGACACTTGTCGATCCCTGTGATGTATAAAGAAACGCCGCCGCGAACTTTTCCTGACGAAGCTCTTTGATCTTACCGGGCGAGTAGCAGAATCGTGTGACGTCATTTTCAGAGTGCGGTTTTGATCACGCTTTATTAAATTACACACAGTTTACAGTTACGCAATTTAAGTTAGGACTGATTAAAATTGTTGATTAACTGAAATAAAAAAATGGAAAAAGAAGATTTTGAACTAATTGAAAATGAGAAAGCTAAAAGTAAAATATGGGTGGAATTCAACTTAAAAAAAAAGAAAATCTACAGGAAAAATTGAGGACGGCATAGCCGTTTGTAAAAAATGTAAGATGGATATTCGCTAAAGCGGAGGGACCACAAATCTAAATACACATTTGACTCGACACCACAAAATCAATCTGCAACAAGGTGCATGCAAGTCTGGTACTAGTTTGATCGCGGCAACAGCGTCAACCGTAAAGCAGCCGACAATTATGAGTTCTTTTGGGCAGACTTCCAAATACAAGCCTACAAGTCAGCGGTATAAGGACATAACGCAAGCCGTCGGAAAATTCATTGTTAATGATCTTCGACCGTTTAGTGTTGTCTCAAATGATGTATTTACTATTTAAGGATATGATTCGTGTTTTAGACCCTAGATACTACCTACCGTCACGTACCTACTTTTCTGAAACTGTTATACCGAACATGTACATGAACAATGAACGCGTGGGGTATGTTGATATTTCTTAAGAAAAACATTTAAAAAGCCTCAAGGACACAGGGTACTTATTCATTCTATAGATACATGTATGTGTTCTAAAATAATAATAAGAAGAGTTGAAATATAGCTTACGTTTAACTGTTTTCTTTAATTATTTTAGTATACACTGTACCACAATACGTATCGCAATACAGGCTGTCTATATCGCAATATATCGCAATACGGGTTTGGCTGTATCGTTGCACCCCTAATCTTATGATACTCCAATGGAACGGTATAACAAAGATGGACATTATGATATCACAGCAATAAGTTAACATTGTTCACTTTGTTAACAAAAATACAGTTACAAAGAAACTAAAATTATACACTAACTATACAGTATAATACCTTGATCTCCTGGGTAAGTGCTAGAAGTCCAAACACATCTTCCAGTCCTGCAGCTATAAAATCAAACACAAAATATAACATCATAAGACATTACACATTTTACACTTATTTATATTTCCCACTAGAATATCTTGAATGTATATACACATATCATTACATGAATTTCTAATAACATCATTGGTTTACTATGAATTGTTATATCTTGCCACAGGTTTTTAATATCATTTTTTTTTATTTCAGAAGCTATGGAGTTAGATATGAGTAAAGGAGAAGGTTTATTTAAGTCACATAATCATTGTAACTGCTATTTGCCTTTCTAGATTTACTTGGTAAGTCAAAAGACATCCCATGTAGACACAGGGTATCTGGTTATCATCACTAACTATTGATAACTGGAGACTAGCTTTTTCATATAATAAAATATATTTACAAATTAACATTTTATCATAGCATAATACAATGTGATAACAATCTTTAGCACACAAAGTAAGCTATTCTTCTACATAAGTAAAATTTCAACAACTGAGAGTCTATATCACAAGTATGAATCCTGGCAAGTTCTTGTTTCTGTGACTACAAATCAAAACAGATTGGCTATGTTTTCTCATTATTACTCAGCATAGAGTAATGATACCTGTGATAAAGTAACATTGAAAGTCATTGAAATACATGTTTGTCACAGTAATTATCAACTAGAACCCTGCTGTTTTTAGGAAGACATTACATCGAACCATGCATAATTCTAAAAGTGCTTAAATTACCAAGTTATCATAAAATTATGTTTTATTGTCAAAAATTATGTATTTAATTTTTGGTTGGATTTTTTTTTACTGAAAATCAGGGGAATTCGATCCCATGGCAGATCAGGGGTCAAGGCCAAAAATAGGGGGATTTTGTCCCCTGACAGTGGGTATATCATGCATGCAAAGATGTATTGTACATTATTTACCTTATGTTGTCATAGTTACAGTCATACTCATTAACTTCTAACTGACTTACCTGTCCTGATATCATGAACTAGAGGGTTTGCAATGGCGTCCTTGAACAACATTGACAGCTTAGCTAACTGACAGTAACACTTTGTACAGTCTGTAAAATAAACCATGTAGTTTATATATAATCAGAACTGTAGAAGATTTACATGTACATAACTTATATTATGTAAAAAAAAATAATATTAAAACAAAGATAAAAAGCATGTGTATCTCATGGCATGTTTAAGTTGTTGTTGGTTTTTAAAATTATGTAACAAACAGTGAGAACAAAAGAAAGTGATATGATGACAAGTGTATACCTTACTGAAATTCTATCCTGAACTTCCTGTAATAAATACCAAAGTTTGGAAACAGTGTAGAAAAGACTTTCCTTTCAGTTGCTTTAGTAACCAGGAAAACTAGAATTCTTTGAACAAATTGTATACCTCTCATCAACATATGCTCTCATGAACTAAAGATATTTCATAACTTACTATTATGACCTATGGCTTACTTGAGAAGATTGAATTCTGTCATTGAAATACAAAAAATAAAATACACAAAGGCCACTTAAATACAAAATATATATAAATTAAATAAATCAACCGTTTAAACAATGTGTCTCCTGAAATGTTCAAAATGATTTTATTTTTTTGCTTGAAGGTAACTTAACTACAGAGTATCTTGACTACATTATAGTTTTGTATTGTATGTTTCAACTGCTCAAAGTTAAAGAATAAATGGGTAAAAATAACTTAACATAACATAACCGTATAACCAGGCTCTATACTGGTGGCAAAGGCTATTCACTTTGGGTATCAGCAGGTCAGCACGATATATGTTAGACATAATTTGACTTCAGAAGCGGCAGCATTGTTTCTTATGCTTTATTTAGTCATCAAAAACAGTAGCCAAACTACTGAATAACAGTGATGATCATGAAGCAATTTAACATAATTTGCTAGATTTGATCACACACCATACAGGGGCATGTTATTTGAAGTCAGCTACACAAATAAAGACCAAATATATAGCTATGACTAGAGACCAGAAAAAAGTAACAAGACTTGTCTGTATGACAGTGCATTGTACTATCATGAGTACTTGATTGGAAGTGGGGATGATGGTCGCTAATAATTATTAAAGTTTCAAGGCAATAACTTCCCGGTACAAGGATATAGAAAATAAGCAGGGTGGTATGAAAAACAAGCATTATTTTGGCCTGGAAGTCAAGATGATGGTCACTAAGAAATGAATGTGTTGGTATGAAACAATTAACTGAAAGAATGAAGCGGGTGCCAGCATCAACGCCAGTGTGAGTAGAATATAAGCTCTCCCTATTATATAAACATAAAGTCAAATTAAAAACTTGCACACTTCATTTTTCTCTTTATATATTAAGTAAGAGAAATGACACAGCTGGTCAATTTAATCATTATTATACTGTATGTGTAGAAATATTTGCTGGCTTCAAATTTTCGCGATCTTCGTGGTGACATTCGATTCGTGAATTCATGTTCAGCGCAAATATTTTATACACCAGTAATTTCTTAATAGTCATATCTTCGTGCATCTATAGAACAATGTATATCAGTGTGTTCACGGTTGCCATAAGTCTTGTATCATTGGCGCTTTAAAAGAGTGATTTTACTGTTGTATAAACTGTACATGTAACATTCAGTTCTGTATATAAATCAGTTTGCTAGTGTATTATTGTTTGACTGATATGATTATCGGATTCTTGTATAAGTATATACATGTTTGAACAATACCACTGTATCACGCTATTTATTTCATAGTCTGAGTCATAAACGTTTGACATATGATCATATTATATTTTGTTTTTCCAAACAAACAATACAAACAACACAAACATTAATGATTTTAACTGATGAAAACATTTAAAAACAAAACACAATTATTCAGTCAACATTTTAATAAAATCGGTGAAATGATTATGGTCTCATTTGGTGCTGTATAAAACTGTGAAAAATCATGCACGTTAACAGACATTCTTTTGTTTGCCATAATCTGTCCGCTAGACAAATTGAATGTCTTTGTTCTGTACAATAGCCTTTTCTTTGATGCCTGGTGTTGAAAATAACTGTGAAGTTCCACAATGATTACAGTAAAAAGTGTGTAAAATGAAAGAAGGTTGCTTGCGAAAACCATTGCATAATCGTGTAAGAGTAATTTCCCTTATCTTTTAACCTGATGGGTGTACGCAAATCTATGATTTTCGGCAGTCACCTCCGCGATTTCAAAATAGCGCGAATATTTGTATATACCCCCAAAATGGACCTTTCCGCGAAAATTTGCTTCTGTGAATTTCAATACACATACAGTATACAATGATGAGAGGAACACATCAGTCAGACAACAGAAGATTATAACTCACCTGTACCTACTGTCTTCACATAGTCTGCTGGCTTTAATGAACACTGTCTAGTGGCATCATTTGATCCCAATACTTTACCTGAAATATGACACCAATAAGATACCTTACAAGTAATTAATGTATGTTTATTCCTTACCCTTCTAACTTTGTGTTTACACTTGCTTTACTTTGAATTTAGAACAGTTCATTAGTAATATACAATGTAGGTGTACATGTATTTAATTAAGCTGCTGATAATATAAATTCTGTGTCAGCCTGCAGAGATTTTCTGCTAACAAGGCTTAACCTGGGTGGCACTGAATTTTACGATTCCTAGAACTCTTGGTGTAGTTTACATGTTAAACATTCAGTACATATACTCTTGATTAAGTAATATAACAAGCCCATGACTCTTGATTTAATTTTGAAACAAATATGGACAGGTTTTAATATTTAAAATATTCTAATAACTAAATATATGTACTATAATAGTATATCATTTATAGTAAATTTCTATGTGACCCTTTTGATTTATTCTTTGCTATGTAGTTTCAAAAACATCAAATACTGTATATGATACCATGCGGCTTCAAACCACTTCATATTTGGTAAAATCTGGGCAGTGATTTTTTTGCTGTATTTTACAGCCGGATAAAGGCTGTTTTCCCTAGCTCAAAATAGGTATATTTTCCCCAAAAAATGCTACAAATTTCCTCTAAAATGCCTCGTGCTCTTCCTTACCAGAACCATGACTTAACAGCATGTGACTTATATCATCTAGAACACAGAAATCTGTCCCTATTTATAGCCTCTGCTATGTACCATGCATGTTAAATTGAATTGATATTAAATTTTTTCACAAAATGTGTGGGTAAATTCCATTTTCATTTGTTGGGATTTGATTTCAGGATTTTCCCCTTTTTTGATTTATCGCGCTATATTTTTCCCTTCAGAAAGCCACAGGTTGTCTTGAAAATTGGAAAAAAATCACTGCCTGGATGATAGGTCAATTTAAATGGCTTTCCTGCATAACTAGTCAGTAATGTGTAATTTCTAGGCAAGAGACTGACTGTTTATCAATCATGATTTTTGAATCTGTGGCAAGACAAGTGACCTATATAAGATCAATTGTCAGGGAGAAATTACATATCCCCTGAGGTTAGAACCAGTGACCCCTGGCTTACATATCTGATGTTCAAACTATTGAACTAAGCAGGATGACTTAAATGAGCTAAGCAGAAAATAACCTTCATTTTGTGTTGTATATGCTGGACACATTCTTTATATGAAAGAGTTCATTGTCACAGTTTATATTCCAACATATAAAAGTGAGTGGCTTATATCAATTTTCAGCAACCTTAACCACTCTGCCATAAAAGACGAATCCCCTCATGTTAAAGGTGGCAAGAAAATGTAAAAAAAAATTTGGCATCCATTAAGTCCTATCAAGCTCTGCACTAGTAAATTTTTTATCTTGATGTCCCCTTAATTGATAATGAATAGTTCCAAAAATGAAGGCTGGACAAGTCCATTTAAGAAATGAAGCATGATTAGAGTTCAAGATAGGATAACTTTGTGTATACTCACCATGTACAATGACAGAATTTCCTGTAGTTATAACTGTTATACAGCATGAGGTATCAGCACAACCTGGGTATGTGTAGGAGAACTTAAAGTAACCACTGTATCGCCATTCAACTGGTAACTGGGAAACACCTATCTCGTCTTGCTAAAAACAATACATGAATTTTGTTAACTAAATCTTTACTTTATTACATTTTCTAATTGCCTTTGTTTAAAACTTTTAAAGCATAGTTAATTAAATGCCAGTTTACAATGACACTGCTGTCAGATTCAAACTAAATCAGACCTTTCACTGCCAGAAAGTCAAGACAGTCGAGTAAGTTACCTTGATTATAAAACAATGCATGTGGAGGCACCTTGTGTCTACCTTCAAAATACAAGCTTGAAAATTGCTGTATAACATTAAAAGTAATGCTATGTTAAACAAAAATCTATAAAGTAACTTTAACTGAATTTAATGACTCTAGCATAATTTTGATATTACCTCAGTGTATACAATAAATCCAGTTTCCAGCATCAACACATGTAAAGCTATACAAAGAGATTCTGCCATGTCTCTAGGCTCTAGACATGTATATATTTCCTGTAACAAGGCTGGTACTGTCCCATTTACTGCTTCTCTACATAAAACAGGTTCACTCAAACACTGCTTCACAACTACATGATCTACTGTTTCTTCCTCAGTTTCCATGGCAACATCATAGCTTGCATCTGTTTCTGGTTCCATGGAACATTCAGCACTGGTACCTGGCCGTCCTGTATCTATAGGCATTGCTGACTGGGCATTATTTCCGCTAGATTTATTTTCATCAATCTTTTTCTCACCAAAGTTTATTTTTGATGCAGTTTCCACTGTATTGCCCTTAGCATCTGTTGCAGTGGCCTGAAATATAAGATCTTAATTAAATAATTTTACATACACATAGCCTTCACTCCTGCCATAATAACAATATATATCTCTCTTTAAATGCTGGTACAATTTTTAGTACAAAAGGATAGAATGAAGATTATTAATAACAGAGAAGTGTTAAAACAACAACAACATATGCTTTTCATCTTTGCTTTTTTAGCTCGACTATTCAATAAGAATAAGTAAAGGTATACTAGTCAACTGAGCGACGGCGTTGGCGTGACCACTTATGTTAAAGTTTTTGTAATATCTCAAATATGTTCAATGTCCATTGAAATATGACTTGAAACTTTGCACACTTGTTCATCATCACGATCCCAACCATTAGACAAGAGGATGTAACACTATCAAGCATTTTGACAGAATTATGGCCCTTTTTCGACTTACAATTTAAGTTAAAGTTTGCTTACCACCTCAAATAATTTCAAAATTCATCGGCATATGGCTTTGAAACTTAGCACACTTGTTCACCATCATGCCCCCAACCTGTAGACAGGAGGAGGTAATGCTGTCAAGCATTTTGACAGAATTATGCCCCTGTTTTTGACTTAGAATTTATGTTGAAGTTTGCATACCACCTCAGATATTTTCATATTTCATTGACATCTTGCTTTGAAACAAGTTAAAATTTAATACACTTCTTTGCAATATAACAGGACTTTCTTCAAGGCATATACAATGGATATGTAAAAAAGATTTGCCCTTTTGTGAACTTTGAAAATTTTACATTACCAAGGCTCTTTTACTATCAAGCACTTAGAATAGTTGAGTGTGCTGTCCTACCGACAGCTTGCTCTTGTTATTTAAATTATCACCAAAGCTTCTTCAGAATGATAGCAACAAACAAGATTGCATTTGAGAAAAATGCTATGCCACCGCATTAATAAAACACTAAATAGTAGTGTAGGAACAGATTATTTTTTGTTTCTTTACAATTGAAGATTGTCATAATGCATAGATCCCTGACCTATCTAATTCTTATTATCAGATTAGTGGTTAAATATATTGTTATTCCAATAAAAGATCAGAGTAAGAATATACCAATGCACTTGAGTCTAGTGAATTCGGTGGTGAAGGTCATATTTCACACAGCGTAAATTCAAGACTACATCAAAGGACAACACAGAAAGACACTTTGTCAAAATCTAGGTCAGCTGATATCAAAGTTCACTTTACATCTTAATCTGTGCACATGGTTTCATAGCTGTACATCAAAGAACAAGAAAGTAGGTCACATCATCAAAATCTAGGTCACCTGATATCAAAGTTCAATTTTACAACTAAAACTGTGCACAAGGTCAAAATTTCATTGTTGAACATCAAAGGACAAGAAAGTAGGTCACTGTCCCCTTGGGGCAAGGCCAAGGGTTTAATTCAAAATAATCTTGATACAGGTCCACCAAACAACATTTTTAGTCAAATATCTAAGCTGTAGCTTTCTTCCCATTTTTACTATATACATTTAAGGAAAACCTATGGCCCCCGGGGCAGGGCAATTTTGACACTAGAGGCAAAATTTGAACAACTTTGGTAGAGTACCTATAGATGATATCATTTAACAAAATTTAATATTAAAGCTCTAAGCCTTGTACCTTCAGACAATAAGATTTTTTTATTTTTTACTATATGTATATATTGAAAATCAATGACCCCCAGGGCGGGGGCAATTTTGACCCCAGGGCTATAATTTGAACAATCTTGCTAGAGATTCACTTCACAATGTTCATGCAAAATATCTAACCTCTAGCATTTGTCAATTGCTAGAAGAATTTTTTTTAAAGTTTTTACTATAAGTTTTTAATTTATACATATAGGGAAAACCAATGACCCCCGGGGCTGGGCTGTTTTTGTCCCCAGGGCTATAATTTGAACAATCTAGGTAGAGGTCTACCAGACAATGCCTTATGCAAAATATCTAAGCTCTAGGCCTTTTGGGTCTTTACAAGAAGGTATTAGTTTTTACTATATGTACATATAGTGAAAATCAATGAACCCCCAGGCGGGCCGATTTTAACCCCAGGGCTATAATTTGAACAATCTTGGTAATGGTCTACCAGACAATGCTTTAAGCAAAATATCTAAGCTCTAGGTCTTTTGGGTCTTTACAAGAAGGTATTTTAAGTTTTTACTATATGTACATATAGTGAAAATCAATGACCCCCAGGTGGGGCCAATTTTGACCCCAGGGTTATAATTTGAACAATCTTGGTAGAGGTCTACCAGACAATGCCTTATGCAAAATATCTAAGCTCTAGGCTTTTTGGGTCTTTACAAGAAGATTTAAATTTATTCTTATAATTCCTTTTAGTTGCCATGGCAACCAGATTTCTGCATGGAATGAAATTCTTTGAACAACTTTGGAAGCCCTTCACCCAAGGATCAATCCTGCCAAGTTTGGTTGAAATTGGACTAGTGGTTTTTCACAAGAAAATTTTTTAAGTTCACTATATAATCTATATAACACACAAACAAACAAACACACACACACACAGGTGAATCGCTATATGCCACCGCATCGCAGATGCTGCGGTGGCATAAAAACATGTGATGTCTAATCATAATGCGCTACATTTCTAGCAAAGGCTTTAATCCCCTGTTAGATGCCAAATGTGAGGAAAATGTGCACCCTGACCAGGACTCAGACTCTTGGCATATCATACCACGGTTATAATGAGTGAACTATCTGGTGGCTTATAAACTATCTCCACTAATACATGTACGTGAACATTTCAACACCGTGACACTTAGAGAATGAAAGCCTAAGAATGAATAACAAGAGGGCCATGATGGCCCTGAAGTCGCTCACCTGTATATAGGCCCCCGGAGCGGGGCCAGTTTTAACCCCAGGGCTTTTATTTGAACAAACTTGGTAGACACCGATTAGAAGATGTTTCATGCTAAACATCTAAGGTCTAGCTGGTCAAGTTTTTTCTTTACACATATAGTTAACAAAAGGGCCATGATGGCCCAAAGTCGCTCACCTGTATATAGGCCCCTGGAGCGGGGCAAGTTTTAACCCCAGGGCTTTTATATGAACAAACTTGGTTGTATATGTATGTATGTATATATATATATATATATATATATATATATATATATATATATATATATATATATATATATATATATATATATATAAATATATATATATATATATATATATATATATATATATATATATATGTTTATATATATATATATATATATACATACATACATAATATGTATATATATATATATATATATATATATATATATATATATATATATATATATATATATATATATATATATATATATATATATATATATTAAATATATATTTGTATATATATAATATGTATATATCTAAAAAAAAAGTCAAGCTAATGAATGACCCCCGGGGCGGGGCCAATTTTGACCCCAGGGCTTTTATTTGAACAAACTTGGTAGTCACCCATGAGAACATGTTTCATGCTAAATATCTTAGCTCTAGCTCTTTGAGTTCTTTAAAAGAAGATTTTTTAAGTTTTTACTATATGCACATAGGGAAAATCAATGACCCCCGGGGGCGGGGCCAATTTTGACCCTAGGGCTTTTATTTGAACAAACTTTGTAGACACTCATTAGAAGATGTTTCATGCTAAATATCTTAGCTCTAGCTGTTTGGGTTCTTTAAAAGAAGATTTTTTAAGTTTTAACTATATGCATATAGGGAAAATCAAAGACACCCTGGGGCGGGGCCAATTTTGACCCTAGGGCTTTTATTTGAACAAACTTGGTAGACACTCACTAGAAGATGTTTCATGCTGTATATCTAAACACTAGCTATCTGGGTTTTTTCAAAGAAGATTTTTAAGTTTTTGCTATACACAGTCATATAAGGAAAATCAATGACCCCCGGGGCGGGGCCAATTTTGACCCCAGGGCTTTGATTTGAACAAACTTTGTAGACACTCACTAGAAGATGTTTCATGCTTAATAGCTAAACTCCAGCTATTTGGGGTTTTTTAAAGAAGATTTTTTTAAGTTTTTGCTATACACATATAAGGAAAATCAATGACCCCCGGGGCGGAGCCAATTTTGACCCCAGGGCTTTTATTTGAACAAACTTGGTAGACACCTATTAGAACATGTTTCATGCTAAATATCTTAGCTCTAGCTCTTTGAGTTCTTTAAAAGAAGTTTTTTAAGTTTTCACTATATGCATATAGGGAAAATCAATGACCCCCTGGGGCGGGGCCAATTTTGACCCTAGGGCTTTGATTTGAACAAACTTGGTAGGCACTCATTAGAAGATGTTTCATGCCAAATATCTAAGCTCTAGCTCTTACGGTTTTTTAGAAGAAGATTTTTTAAGTTTTTCTTATTGGTTGCCATGGCAACCAGAGTTTTTAATGGAATTTAAATTTTTGAACAACTTTGAAAGGGGTCCACCTAAGGATCATTTCTATAAAGTTTGGTTGCAATTGGCCATGTAGTTTAGGAGGAGATGTTGTTTGAAAAGTTTGACGCCATTTTTTGAAGGACACACGACGCACGACGCACGCAAAGTGATGACAAAAGCTCACCTTTGAGCACTTCGTGCTCAGGTGAGCTAAAAACAATGACACACCTGGGGCAGGGCCAGTTTTGACCCAAGGGCTTTTATTTGAACAATCTTTGTAGACACTTACTAGAAAATGTTTCATGCTTAATATCTAAACTCTAGCTATTTGAGTTTTTTCAAAGAAGATTTTTTAAGTTTTTGATATACACATACAAGGAAAATGAATGACCCCCGGAGCAGGGCCCATTTTGACCCCAGGGCTTTTATTACAACAAACTTTGTAGACACTCACAAGAAGATGTTTCAAGCTTAGTATCTAAACTTTAGCTATTTGTTTTTTTCCAAAGAAAATTTTTTAAGTTTTTGCTATTCACATATAAGAACAAGAGGGCCATGATGGCCCTAGATCGCTCACCTGACTTATCAAACTCATCCAAACAATTACCTAGACAAGCATTCTGACCAAGTCTCATGACAGGTGAGTCAAAAATGTGACCACTACAGTGTTAACAAGGATTATCCATATTTGAGCAGTGCGACCTAGTTTTTTACCCAGGTGACACATATTCAAACTTGACCTAGAAATCATCAAAACAAACTTTCAGACCAATTTCCAGGATACTTGGATCAAAACAGTAGCAACTAGAGTGTTAACAAGATTTTTCTATTTTTAGCTCCGGTGACCTAGTTTCACATGCGATTTCGAACTCATCCAAGTAATTACCTAGACAAGCATCCTGACCAAGTTTGATGATAATTAAGTCGAAAATGTGACCACTAGAATGTTAACAAGGTTTTTCCATATTTGGGCGGTGTGACCTAGTTTTTCATCCAAGATGACCCATGTTCGATCTTGACTTAGAAATCATCAAAACAAACTTTCAGACCAATTAACAGAATATTTGGATCACAACAGTAGCCACTAGAGTGTTAACAAGATTTTTCTATTTTTAGCTCCTGTGACCTAGTTTTTCATCCGAGATGTCCCATGTTCGATTTATTCCAAGCAATGACCTAGACAAGTTTCCTGACCAAGTTTGATGACAATTGAGTCAAAATTGTGACCACTAGAGTGTTAACAAGGTTTTTCTATTTTTAGCTCCTGTGACTTAGTTTTTCATCAGAGATGACCCATGTTCAAACTCATCCGAGCTATCACCTAGACAAGCATCTTGATCAAGTTTGATGTTGATTGATGCAAAAATGTGACCGCTAGAGTGTTAACAAGGTTTTTCTATTTTTAGCTCCGGTGACCTACTTTTTCATCCGAGATGACCCATGTTGAAACTCATTCAAGCTATCACCTAGACAAACATTTTGACAAAGTTTGATAATGACTGATGCAAAAATGTGACCGCTAGAGTGTTAACAAGGTTTTTCTATTTTTAGCTCCGGTGACCTACTTTTTCATCCGAGATGACCCATGTTCGAACTCATCCAAGCTATCACCTAGACAAGCATCTTGACCAAGTTTAATGATGATTGATGCAAAAATGTGACCGCTAGAGTGTTAACAAGGTTTTTCTATTTTTAGCTCCGGTGACCTACTTTTTCATCCGAGATGACCCATGTTCAAACTCATTCGAGCTATCACCTAGACAAACATCTTGACAAAGTTTGATGATGACTGCTGCAAAAATGTGACTGCTAGTGTGTTAACAAGGTTTTTCTATTTTTAGCTCCGGTGACCTACTTTTTCATCCGAGATGACACATGTTCGAACTCATCCAAGCTATCAACTAGATAAGCATCCTGACCAAGTTTGATGACGATTGATGCAAAAATGCGACCGCTAGAGTGTTAACAAGGTTTTTCTATTTATAGCTCCGGTGACCTAGTTTTTCATCCGAGATGACCCATATTCAAACTCATCCGTGCTATTATCTAAACAAGCATCCTGACAAAGTTTGATGATGATTGGGTCAAAAATGTGACCACTAGAGTGTTCACAAGGTTTTTCTATTTTTAGCTCCTGTGACCGAGTTTTTCTTCAGAGATGACCCATGTTCGAACTCATCCAAGCAATTGACTAGACAAGCATTCTGACCAAGTTTGATGATGATTGGTTCAAAAATGTGACCACTAGAGTGTTCACAAGGTTTTTCTATTTATAGCTCCTGTGACCTACTTTTTCATCCGAGATGACCCATGTTCGAACTCATCCAAGCTATCACCTAGACAAACATCCTGATCAAGTTTGATGATGATTGGGTAAAAAATGTGACCTCTAGAGTGTTCACAAGGTTTTTCTATTTTTAGCTCTTGTGACCTTGTTTTTCATCCGAGATGAGCCATGTTCGAACTCATCCGAGCTTTCAACTAGATAAGCATCCTGACCAAGTTTGATGATGATTGAGGCAAAAATGCGACCGCTAGAGTGTTCACAAGCAATTGTGGACGACAACGGACGACGGACGACAGACGACGGACATTTACCGATCCTAAAAGCTCATCCTGAGCAAGCTCAGGTGAGCTAAAAAATCAATGACCCTCTTATTTGAACAAACTTGGTAGACATCCATTAGAACATGTTTCATGCTTAATATCTTAGCTCTAGCTCTTTGGGTTCTTTTAAAGAAGATTTTTTAAGTTTTTACTATATACATATAGGGAAAATCAATGACCCCCTGGGGCGGGGCCAATTTTGACCCCAGGGCTTTTATTTGAACAAACTTGGTAGACACCCATTAGAGGATGTTTCATGCTATATATCTTAGCTATAGGTCTTTGGGTTCTTTTAAAGAAGATTTTTTAAGGTTTTACTATATGCATATAGGGAAAATCAATGACCCCCTGGGGCGGGGCCAATTTTGACCCGAGGGCTTTTATTTGGACAAACTTGGTAGACACTCACTAGAAGATGTTTCATGCCAAATATCTAAGCTCTAGCTCTTTGGATTTTTTAGAAGAAGATAATTAAAGTTTTTTCTTTTGGTTGCCATGGCAACAAGAGTTCTGCATGGAATTAAATTCTTTGAACAATTTTCAAAGGTGACCACCAAAGGAACATTCATGTGAAGTTTGGATGAAATTGGCTTAGTGGTTTATGAGGAGATGTCATTTAAAGTAAAAGTTTACGGACGACAGACGGACGACGGATGGACGGACGGACACGGGACGAAAAGCGATCACAAAAGCTCACCCTGTCACTTTGTGACAGGTGAGCTAACAAAATACTTGCAATTTGTGAACTAGCAGCTGAAGATCCAGTAATTTGATCCCCAACCTGTACAATGTAGATAAGATCTCCACTCACAATGTCACAGTCTCCTTTCACTTTCAGTTGTCCATTAAGTGCATCTTTTTTGTTCAGACTTAAAAAGTACTCTCTGAAACAAACAGTTTGACAGTTCAAAGTAATGTAGAAGTATTGGCCTTGGGAGACCAAATGACCAAACAGATATGTTATAATGTGACTATGAGATCAAAAGAATGCAATTTTTATCGGACAAACTAGAAATGTGTCTGAAAGACATGAATGCCCCCCTATATATGATAGGAAACAGAATAATATGAATAAAGATATTATTACAAGACAGACATGTCTCTGTTCCCGCAAAGGTTTTGACATTATTGGAAGATATATAGACAACAAAATTAGTATTTCATGAACCTTTTGTGCAAAAGAAAACCATTTAAAGTTAGAGGACAGATGGCTATTTATAAAACAGCCAAGTTTCTAATATTCACAAGGCCTTAATTTCAGAGTAACAAAGTAAAATTTATTTTCTCATTTCAGTCCTAAATGGAGCATAAAGCTCAAAAAATAAAATTTCAATAGGTTTTTATATAACTTAATAAGTAACCATTATTATTATTGTCAAAGTAAAGCATTGATTATTTTCCAAATGGTTATCTTTTACCTCTACACTATATAGGAGCTAGGGATCTAGGTCCCTAACATGACAAAATCACGAATGTCTCATCATGCTAAACATTTGTTTAGTTATGAAGCCGGATGCTTGACATTTATGGGCCATATTATATTTGCTACATGTAACAGCTAACTTTTGACTCCTAGTCGCTAGGGGTCTTAATTTTGGGTCTTTTGCATGACACACCTCATCACATTTAAGCTGGGGGATAAACTAGTTACATTGTAACTTAAAGAGTATAATCAACTGGAAACCATATTTTGGTATATATAAATGTAAAAAAGTGAGGGCAGTATAATGTGTAAAAAATAGTCGTCTGCAGCCAAATTTGAACTGAACCTGTCCTGTATTTTATGAAGTTACACCTGCATATAAAAGATATTTTAAAACCCATCCAATGACTTATCTTATATTCCTTACTCTAGTCATCAACCAGAATCCAGGGCATACAACAAAAGCTTGATATTGATTTCTAGAAATAAATCTACTAAAGATAAAAATTACTGTAAAATTACTATCTATGCCTATAGTATACATTTTATTCAGTTACTAAATAAACAAAATATTTCTTTGATAAATTAATTCTAAAATAAAAGTCTACTTTATATTTTATATGCACTTTGAATAATAACGGTCCAGTTGTACATGTATGAAAGTTGGCAGATGAGAAAGTTGTCCGGATAATATGACAATCCGAATTTGAAGAACTTAAGAAAAACAAACTCCGTATACCCATATAAACAATCTTGAAATACGTTCAAAGCTCTCTCTGATAGATCATCTACAGTCAAATCTTCAGATATTTCATCACTAATATCGATGACTTTGCTAATTTTATCTAAACGCAAACGCAGTTTCATTTCTGATTTGGCAGCTAGAATCAACGATTTCGACTCATTCGGCCTCAAGTCGTTTCGACCCCAAAATACTGAAGGCGTTTCGGCTCTAGACATAAGGACCCTTTACCAAATAAGCCCATTTTGAACTGATTCATAAAAGTATACGAACTTGTTTCATTCCAAAATTATTTCCCAAGTCAGTAAATAATGACTTTAAAGAAAAGTTCAAGATTTTATCTAATCATGGGTGCAGGTTATGGTACGTGTTGTTATTTTGCAGTATTGATTTCCTTTTCAAGCTAATTCATGACTCATTACATGTACTCTTTATCTGAAATGTAACACTGAACTGTAAGTGGAATATGATCTTTACAGACGAACTTTTTTCTCACTTGGGTTGAGCAGTGTTTGTTGAAGCTTTTCGTGGAAAGACACTGCTGTGTCACATTGAAGGTTCCATATGATAACCGCTGTATGAACACATCTGCTGATGTTTCGAAATTCAAAATTTCAACATTTTTTGTGTTTAAATGTTGAATTTCGCTTAAGCCGGTGTTAGGGGGGCGTTGACGGTAACAATCAAACCGAGCCTGCAACAGTTTACAATTTTGCCGTGTTTAGCTTTCTTTTTCTCTATTTTATTATTTTTTTAACTTGAACACCCAAACTTTACTTCTTGTCATTAATTTGCACTACTTTTAATGCAACAATATCAACAAAAACACGTACAAGTTACAGTTTTTTGTACAATAATTTAATGAAATAAAGGTTTCATTTTACACAGGACGTACAGGGGAACTTTTATTATATAATAATTCAAGTGGTGGACGAGTGTTGAAGTACATGTTAAACTCCGAATGAATTAATTACGGGATCGCGGATTTGAGCCTTACTGCATCGGGTCTCCACTATAATTCTTCAAATTTCACCAATACAGGTCAGTTCCAGGAATTGTACTTTAGAGTGGTTTATATAACCTTCAACCTTTCAGGAAACAAATATGTTTATCACATACCCGTGTCGATTATGCAACTGTGCAAATTTTAAACGGCCGTGCAAATAATTTGACGTGACGTCATTTGCGTTATAAAACATAACGTCGCGCTAAACGCAGAGACACATTGTGTCGTAAGGTACTTCACACACACACGCGCGCACGCACGCGCGCGCACGCATGCAAACACGAACGCAAACAATGACCACTTTTACATGTACTTTAATTTTACCCGGAAGTCAGTATTCTTCTATGAAAATGACTCCGGTCGTTATTTTTTTTAAACCCAGGCATGATCTTATTACCCCTATACACATGTAAAACATCTCACTCACACTTAGAAATATAATTTACAAAACATACATTCCACTTCCTATCGATTGCTGTTCAAATTTATGGGAAACATGTAGTATTTATAAACACGATGTACTTGGCTATTCTGAAATTTTAAAATATACCATTAAGTTTTGTATTTCAAATACATGTACACAAAAATTTATGTCAAATAATATGACATACATAGATATTCAACATTTTTCCATTTGATTTAAAACAATGCCGGGTACTTATTATGATCATCTGAATAGTGAACGTCATTGGGCAAAATAACAGTGTCGGAAAATGTCGGAAAATGTCATTAATAAAATATATGTAACAGCTGTAAAATATTATCCCCGTACTTAATTTTATATATACTGTGGTCATATCTATTTTTCGGGGTCATTGATTACAATTCCTTTAAAATCGCTTCAGCTAGGTGTCGTTAGAGATGTTGCATATATTGTACTTTCATTATATTCCATGAATAGTCTCAATCAAATGTAATAAACATTAAACTTTAAAAATTGTCCTGATGAAGGTCATATAGATTACCGACACTAGTATAGACCCAAATAAAATATTGTAAACTTGCTCTGGTGTTGACGTGTATTACTCGTTAATTCGTACACGACTGACCTTGGCTGATAAACAATAAAAACATTAATAGAATATTAAAAAGTCAGCCTCTTTAAACGTTTATAAAGTCTGAAAATAGACTTGATCAAAAGAATAGAACGTAGCTAGGTCAGCGGTAAGACGAAGGTCACAAAAATCACAGAATGCACAGTTAGTTAATAATGTGTTCGAGTTCTACAGATGAGGGAGTGGTGAATCATCTACAGGTTTTTGAAGGGGTGGATTTTATTCTGATGGAAAAGTCCTATAGAATATTGGCAGGAGGATAATTATTCAAAGAGAATCACTTCTTTGTTATATACGGAGGTTGTTGTTTGGCGGGGAAAAGTGAGCTAGGTATTACTGCGCCTTTCAGCCATCTCCATGAAGAGGATCTGTGCCGGGGTTTGGTTATCTAATTGTCATAATTACCTTTAACCCCAGGGGTAGGGAAAAGGAGCACAACTGACTGGTGAATAATAAGTGCCTTATAATATATATAATGTAGTAGGTACATGTGGTTGACAGATCACACGTTCGGCAGTAGGTAAATGTTATAAATAAAATACCTACTGCGTTCAAAATGTGTTTAAAAGTTGTTCAAATAATTACAATAATCAACAGAGTTTCTTATATCCGTTATAGTCTTTATTACAATTAGATTTCACTCCTATTGAAAAATCTGATAAAAGAAACGCTTGTCAGTTTTGTATATCAGTAAAATTAGTGTTATGTTACAAAAAAATAGTGAGCAGCGAATCGTGTTAAAATAACAATTGTTCCTAGTGTAGAATCCTATAACCAACATGGTGCTTTAAGTTAATGGTAAGTACAAATATATATATATTTTTCTCTAATTTTGTCATCTGTTAACAGTTTTTTTTTGTAATTCATTTTTATAACATAACAATAATATCAAATGAATGTACAAATTACGTTATTATATTTACAACTTAATCACTTTTTGTCACATGTTTAATTAAGTTATTTAGAATACACGTGAATTATTTACAGTGTTTTGAAAGAGTTAAATTCGTGATATTAAATGCATCAAAATGTACAGATAGATTGAGAATTTAACAAAAATGTACATGCATTTACATGTACAAACCAGTGCATGTCTAATGACGTATATCATAAATCTGTGGAAGAGTGCAATAACATATAGAATTTCACGCTTGCTTTTATTTATTTTCTACTTTTTTTTGCGGGACGGATGGTGTTTGAATAAGAGACATGCAATCACTGATTTTTGCAGGATAACATAAATAAAGGCTCTTTATGACAAATGAAAGCACCCAGCAAACATGACATATACGACCGATGTCGGCCCGATATCATCTGCAATGTCGGTCCGATATCGGCATCCGATGTCGGCTTGACGTCGGTTGTGCAACCCGGCTCAAAGTCGGAGTTAACCGACTTACAGCCGATTTCATACCTACATTCATAATAAGCTCTTTTTTTCTAGCAGCATTTTGGTTTGCCTTCTTTTGCATAAGGGGGCTTTAACATATATATAACAAATATTATGTCTGGGAAGTGTCGTGCTGTTATATGATATATTTACTAACTGTATTATAGATTTTGTTCATTGATTCAGACTCCAGTGATCACACGTTTAAGTAACACTTAAAAAGACAATATAGTTGACTTTTTCCGCATTATCATGTTGAATAAAAGATATGGTTTGTAATTGAGTTAATAATGTAAGTGTCAACTGGTATATATGAACTTCTTCATTTGTTTGGTTTTCTGGGCGTCTTTAATCCACCATGTCTTAATCACTTGCCAGAAGACACTATTTCCTGCTATCGATTTTCACCTCGGCAACTGTTGCTCTCTTTTTTTTTCATTACTATATTCTAGTGCACAAATTGAAAAGAAACCTTAGTATAACACACATATATGACATATCCCTGCAGTACTTACCATACAAGTTTTATTAATTATATTTTCATTATTATAGAATTATGTTTGTCTTAATGAAGCATATACTCATTCTAAGTATTGCTTAGGACTTTGTATTGCCTGGGGTATCTTTAGCTTCCAAAATGACATTTTCTTTCCTTTTTTTCTTTCTCCAGCTATTTCAGTAGTCAGCACTCTGATTCAGGATTCTATTTAATTGTCGTGTCAAAGACAGATGATTTACCTGCAACAAATAATTCATGTTTCAAAAATCATACTAAAAAGAAAATATAACAACATAATAATATATTCACATTTTTATTACTAAAGACTATTGTTAAGAACAACGTCCTTTCAAAAGGCAAACCGCCACTGTCCATTTATTTTTCATATAGTACCGTAACTTACAGATCTTTTCGAATTTACAACATTTTTTTGAGGATTTATGTTATCATGTACAGACTTAAGTAAAACGTGCATGCATCTTTTATGTAATTTTGAGGGAAGATGGAACTTGGGGTGTCACAAAATGTTTCATGCATACTCCAGAGTGGGTTTTGGCATTTTACTAGTTTTCCTGGGGGTAGGGTTGGTATGCTTTGTTATGAGTCAATTGTTTTATATGGGTTTTACATAAAGAAAACAACAGACCTTGGTGTAATATTATACTCCATGCATTATAGCTTGCAAAATCCCAAAAGTGTGGGAGGAGAGGGCTTATGACCATCATGGGTCGTCGCATAACTGTTACCTTACCTGCAATAATGTTAATGGTGTGCTAAACAAAACAAAAAACTTCTGAGAGTTTAATTTACGAAAATTCTAGAAAGATAAAGCAAAAAAATCTCATTAAATTGAACACAAAAGTAAATGAATAAATCAAACAGTTAATAAAGAAATAATCAATCAATAAATAATAAATCAATAAATATTTAATAACTAAAAATGTTGCCCAGGATCGCTTAAAATGTATCAACGTGCTGTCATTGTTATTACCCAATTATTTGAATAATCCAATTAAATTGTATTTTAGCAGGGACGTAGATAAACTTCTCCGAGTTTAAACAGATGGAAAGTCAACATGTTGTCAACTGTTAATATTTGATTAATATATGGAAGGATGTAAAATGAGAGTACCATTACTTCTCGTGCTGCACGTGGTGTTAGTACATAGTGTGACACAAGAACTACTTTATATCAGAAGTTCATGCAGTATGTCATACCAGATAAAGGTATGGAAAAAAATATTGTGTTTGAATATCTTAATGAAAATTTAATGAAAACTAAA